AGCAACAGGAGAAATGATTTTCTTCAAAAATGCTTTTTTCTCGGAATTTTTGCACAAACAAATTTATTATTAACAAAAAAAAATTAAAACGTCGGCCTCAATAGGTGTCTTCTTAATTAGTTTTCATTTAAAAAGAACTTAATCAAATGGGTTGGGCTATTTTGAACAGTAAATTACAGTTTTGGCCCACTGTGCGGCGACGCTTAACTCTAGCGATTCTGGTAAGTGTTGCAACGTATTATTGAAAATATTTTTGTGATAAATTTGTTATAAATTGTGTGACTCAACCAAGTATTTTCTTTGATTCAACATCGATTAAAAGAGAAATTTGAAAAAATAGAGAGAAATTCTACATTGTCATTTTGGAATATTAGATATCCAACTTCAAATAGATATAAAAAAAACGGTAACTAACCTTTTCAAATCCTCTGCTACTTTTTTCTTAGCTCTGATCCAGTACTTTTCGTGAAAAATCCTGTAAAACTGTCAAACAGCAAAATTACTCTCTGAAGTGAGAGTAAAAAGTGAGTAACAACAAAAAGTACGGGAACAAAAAATTCATTTTTCCTGTAAAAACGTCAACCAGTGATTGCTTGACACTTTTCATGATTTTACCAGAAGAAAAAGTTCGGGTAAAATCTTGCAACTTCATTCTCTACACAACTCTCCAAAAGTCGCTCTCTTTTACAGGATTTTGGAGTACGGGAACATTTTTCCTGCAACTTCTTGCAAGTTCGTGTAAAATCCTGTAAGTTTATGGAGTACTGGATCAGACCTATTATTTGACCAGCTTAACCCGTAATGGGTATCGTGGGGTCTAAAACGACCCCACCACCGCGATACTGAAAAATTTTAATCGAAAGTTGGTCCGCTTGTACAACTTTTTGACTATGTTCTATGCATATACTTTCTATCAGTTTAAAAACATTTTGGTGTAGTTACAAATCCCCAAACCATTTTAACGGTTTTTTTTTTTTACATAGAAATGTTTAAAAGACCTTAAGACTTTACGACGCCTAACGCGTCTTGTGAATCCCCTAATGGCTACCTACCCTGCAGGAAATGGGAATAGTTTGTGCTAACTCTTAACTTACTAGCAGTCGACTAGTAGTAACTATTTATTAACTATTTCCTTGGCCGTAACTAACTGCTTTCGAAGGGCGATGACCGTTAAATAGTGGGAACCGGTTTCCTCTGCATTAGATGTCAACTGTAGTTAACTACTTTTGAACATAAAATATCAATATGAAAAACAAAATATTTTTTTGTTTAATTTATTATTTTTTAAATGATAATATAAGATTGCGATCTTACTTTTATTTGTCCTGAATACGAAAAAGAGTCTGCGAAGTTCAGAAAAAGGGTGTATTGAAAGTAATTTTTCTATGAGGATATTAAATAGAAACTTGTAAAGAAAACAAACTCCCGATAACGTCTGCATGACTCCTGCACGACTTTACAACTAACTTAAAGTTAGTTTTGTCATAGCTAATTAGAAGTTAGTTATTTATCGAACTTCCGCAAAAAAGTTAACTAGAAGTTGGTTATTTTAATCAGTTGATAATTTTTTTCTGCAGGGTATATATGTACATATGTATGTACACAACTATGTCATTGGCGCTTCTGGTTTTGGAATTGTGGCAGAACAAGCGATCACATTTGCTTGTTGCACTTGTTTCGATTTTATTCAATTCTTACACATACTCATACGATGTCTCTTAAGCTACACCTTTACTGCTGTGACCCTTATCATGCCGTCTACTTTAAATGTTATCATTTGTTTATTGTTTGCTTTTGTTGCTATTTACAACTTGGTCATTGTCGCACACTTTCTATCCATTACTAATAATAACAAAGTAGCAACTAGAAATTATAACACAAGCAGGTATGCACATACGTATGCGCAATCACATAACTGTGAATATAAAATTTCACCACTTTTTTGGACACTTCCGTCCTCGTATACACGCACGCCATCGCTGAAGCCGGCTATTGTGTATACATAAGTATGTGTACGTATGTATGTTAGTATGTTTGCATCATATTTGAATACCTTTTGCATACCTTTGAGCTGCATGGCCTTCTCGTCGTTTCTTTTTGCCTCTTTTTGGCACCAACACCATTACCTCTTTTCGATGGTTTCGATTTGATTTATTTTCGCTTTCTTTGCTTTGTTTTTTTTTTTTTTTATTGGTTCATTTATTTGTATTCGCAGCATCTCCGATTGTGTTTCAGACAGAGGTTTTGGGTTCTGTTGGCAGGTTATTAACAAAAGTTAATTCAATTGTGTCAGCGCGCGCCCAGCATCTTTGTAATGTTTACACCGACGCGTACATATACACATGCATATATATGCACATGCATATACATATGTTTTTTTCTGTTTTTGGGAGATTTCTTTCCAATTTCACTTTCATTTCTCTCGGGTATTTTTGTAATATATGTTCGTACATATGTTATGATTATACCTATATTAAGTGGGCACCGCTTTTTGTACCTTTTGTATGTTTGTATGTATATATGTATGTAGCTGGCTAATTTTATTAATTTGAGTTTCTTCCTTTTCCGAAATGGATGTAATTTCGCAATTTTTTCGTTTTCTTTTTTATGTATTTTGTTCATTTAATTTGTTTACTATTCTCACTTTTTATTTGCTAAAATGTATTTAACTTGTATTATTACCCTGCCCTTTGAATGCTCAGTTTCATTTTCTTGACATCCAATATATACATACATACATACTAGTTACACACACTTTTTTTATAAAACGCATTAAGGTGAAATTTAAAGCCTTTTATTAGCATTGTTAGTAGCGTTGATTAATTTATTTTGGCTGCTTTCAACTTCAATGCAATTGCTATTGTTTTTAACACAAATTTTACATATGTACATATGTGCCGTAACATGCCGTTGAATTTTTTTTTTTTTGGCTAATAATCAATTATGTAGTAACTATAGAAGTAGGGACCGTAATCATTATGTATAAATAAAATAATTTAAATCAGCATTGAATTATGATTTTATGATTTGTATTTTTTCGCTCAAAAAAAATAATTATTACAGTAGACTCAGAAAAGTTGAGACCAACAAAAATTAAAATCTACGGAAAAGTTAACTAGGTTTCTGCCACCACAGGAAACCCTAAAAAGTTAAGTTTTCAGTTAAATTTTGTGAGGGCTTTTATTTACCTTACTGGTTTTTTCTAACATAAATTTAATTCTGATCAAGTGGAATGAGTACAATGAGAAATACATATGTATGTACATTTTACAGCTCCCTGAAGTTCATACTTTTATGAAAATAAAGCTTACCTACTATCTAAACAAAAACCATGTAAATCAAAATTTCAAACTTTGTAGAAGATTTAAAAAAATCGACGTATTTTAACAAATGTTGATCAAAATTTTAAAACTTTTAATCGGATTTTTAATTTTTTTTGAGCATGCAGTTTTTGTAGCCCATTAAATTTTAGTGTAACAAAGTGCAAGTTCGAAGTAGCTTGGACTTACCGTTGATTTTTGGCAATTTTTTGTTCGCGTATTTTCTTCCATACAAACTATACTCGACAATTTATTTGTATGGAGTAAATTAGCAACACCTTCCATAAAAAAATTTACCAAAAATTAAGGGTAAGACCTAGCTACCTAAAATTTACACTTCGTTTTACTAAAATTGAATGGGCTATAAAACCGCATACTCGGACTGTTTCTAAGAAATTGAATTAAAAAGCTCAAAGTTTTTATGAAACAGCCGAATTTTGATTTTTGCACAAACTTTTATTTACATGGGTTTTGTTATACATATAACGTGCTACACTCTCATAAAAAATTATAAAATGTCTCTTCCCTATTTATATTTTCGCCACTGTATTTACAGCTTATATTTTTCATATCCATGCATTGTTTGAGGGAATTAGTATTCTTTTTTATAATATCACTAAACTCAAGCCAGAAGCGTTTCATTAAAAAAAAACTTAAAAAATAATTATAAAAAACCTTAAAAAAATGGTTGGCAAGAATAATGACTGCAATATAGCGAGAGTACCAGTTTGACAGAATAAAACACAACCAAAGATCGTAGAAATTAAAGATGCTGGCCATGTTTGTGGCTCCCCTATATTCTATGTCTTTGTGATAACGAAAGTGCTGCCACGTTTCTACGAAAATTAATTTCTGAGCCAGAGTACAGGAAAACTCTTAGGGCCGGTTGCTCAAAGCCTGGTTGACACTAATCATCGGTTAACATCGTTATCGACGTTTTCGACACCATGCATATAACGCGGTGTAGGAACGTCGATAACGATGTTTAACCGATGATTAGTGTCAACCAGGCTTTAAGCAACCGGCTCTTACTGAATTAATAAAGAAAGCACTGAAGATCGGGATTTAATCGGTAAAAATATGAAAAATCGGGACACATCTACGTGCCGCATTTTAAAAAATATTCAGCGGTACAATTTTCTCAAAATCGGTGCTGTTCCGCCAAAATCGGTACAAATGGTCACCGTAGATAAATAGAAGGTTCTATACCTTTTGTTTAATTGCGGTAGGTACTCAAATTTCGCCAAAATCAGTTTTGGTTGTTCAATAAATAACTATCAGTGACCATCAGTTCAATTTGCAGGGTGGTATTTTCAGGAATCGTAAGTTAAGAGTTTTAACTTTATTTAAGTCTCGGTTTATAAATACAGGTTTTTGAAATATCTCGATTCCTGCGCCACCTATCGGCTTAATTCATCTTTCGTATCGCATTGTCAACGGGTTCGGAGCCAACTGGGAAGTTTTGTAAAATTAACTGACTAGATACTACAAAACTATGACTACCTTAATTAGTCCTTATATACATAATAAGCATCACATTGCTATAATCAAATATCATCTAGACAAATTCTGTAAATGTAGAAAATGCAGATTAAAAATATATTCAGGACATAGGATATTCATCAAATAATTTACATATAAACTTTTAATTAACAAAAAAAGTTTCTACTTATTTTTTAGTTGCCAATCTCCAGCATCCGCCCAATATGCGATATCAAGACATTTTGCTCGGTATTGCCGTGGCCTGTCTAATGGGTTTCATTTGTGCCGACGCGAAAACCGTTTTCCGACGAGCAGATAAAATATCTCACCCCTTTCAGCGTCTCAACTTACCTCCGGAAGAAATAGATCCAAATGTTGCGCCACCTGAATCACAACACATCGAATCGCTCAACTCAGAAGACGTTTCGGGTCCTGGTGCTGATGAAACTACGCAGTTTGCTGATGAAGTCGTTGATCAGGCAGAGGAAGTAGCTGCCGCTGTCGTAGATGAGGCGGCAAATGAGATAGTGGACGCCGTTACTAATGCACCTGCAGTGGCTACGCCGGTTGCAGCAGCAGTAGCTGCTTCTCCGGCAGCTGCTTCGAGCGGCTCGGCTGTCAGCGCGGCAGTGACCGAAGCTACCACAGTACAGAATCACGATGATCCAAATCCAATTAGCAAGTATTGTAAATGTACCGACGATCACTGCGATTGCTGTCGGCAATTCAATTTGCCTATAATTCCCGTGCGCGGTCCCGGTTGTGCAAAGATTACCTATTTGGGCAATGAGCGTATGTCGGTATCGCTTAAATATGGAGACATTACATTGGCGACTCGCACGATTTCGGGTGAGTGACGAGAAAGAGCATACAAGTTTTATGAGAAATTCATGAAAATAAATTGAGTTATTATTAACATTTTATTTTACAGGAAAACGCGCTAAACCCATATGTGTGGGCCTACCCGGTGGTTACTCTAAATTCTGTGGACGCGTTTATGGTCTGTCAAAAGCTAAGAATGATTTCAAGGCTTGCTTGGGCTTTGAGTTGCGCGCTGAGGATGAGGTGGAGGCAGCATTGCGTATTTCATGCTTCAAATTTGGACCTGAGGGACTAAGAGTGGCTGAAGCTGAACCGCTACCCACCGAGGTGAATAAGGACGAAGATGATGATGACATTTTCGGTTTCGGAGGTGAGTAACATCGGATTATATTACGGGAGAGCACACTGAGTAATTTTTATACATATGTGAATATTTATTTAAAGCTGGTGGCGATGATGACGAGGATGATGACTACGACGACGAGCCGGAGGAAGCCGACGAGACCGATGAAGAGGAGGACGAAACAGATGAAGATGGTAATTGTAATATACATATGTTAATAGCCATTTGAATACCAAAATCTATAAATTTTATTTCTAGATGACGTCGAGGAAGATGATGACGCAGAGGCCCCCGCCGATGCTGATTATGGTGGCTTTAGCTTGGCCGGACTGCTCGATGAATTGGACGATGATGATGAAGAGAAACCAGCGGCAGCTGTCACTCCTGCTGTAGCTGCTGCACCGGCTGCGCCCGCTACACGGATTGCTGAAAACAAAGACACTGCACAGGGGAAAGAGGATAGCGAAACCGAAGCAGCCGCAGCGAGTGATCATAATGCCGTCGCGCCAATTGATGAAACGGCTGCTGTAACACCCGCACCCGCAGCTGTTGATGCTTCCACAGTGAAGTCGAAGAAAAAATCGAAGAAGGCGCGCAAACAAAAGAAAAAGAAGGCCGCCTCGACGGGCGAAAATGATTTTGCCCTTGAAATTTTGAATGGCATACTGGATTTTTTCAATTAAGCCTGCAAAACGGGCTTGCAGGCATGTATGGGAATAGTGTAAATACGATTTATTAAAGCGAATTGAATGCGACCGCTTTAATTTAAAAAAAAAAACACAAAAGAAACCAAGTTAGGTTAGGCGAGTAAAAATATTTATTTAATTTATTTTATTGTGAGTATAT